ACAAAAAAAAAAAAAAAAAAAAAAAAAGCCTAAATGGTCATTGGTCAAAGAAATGTTGGGAACCATTGCTTTATGAATATTAAAAGTTTATTGCTTGCTATATCTTTCAATGTAAGTATAACAATCAATAACAGATCTTGAAGATATCAAATTTGACCTGAAATAAATATCCATCCAAAATAATTTATAGGAAATATTAGGATATTTAAATATCATGAATCATATCTTCGAAAAGGTATAATAAGATAACATTTCAGGCTATGAATTTTCTCAAAATTAATGCTAAATAATAATTGTTATAGGATGATTGGCCAGAAGGTTATCAATTGGCTGTAGCAATGAATTTCAAATTTCAACAATGTGTACCAATACCTTTTGCAACAATTGTAAATTCAGTGGGTGATGATGGCCTTAAATTGATGACAGATATGATGCATTGGAATCCAGAAAAACGGCCTAGTGCTATGGGTGTTAGTTAAAAAAAAAAATTCATTGAATTATTAAATTAAAATAATATTTGAAAAATAATTAATTAATTCAAAAATTTATATCATAAAAAATTCTTTTCTTTTTTTTTTTCAGTCTTTGAAATATAGATATTTTTTGGTTGGAGAAAAATTAGGAGCACCAACAATTAGTCAACCATCAACATCAAATCGTGAAACCAGTGCCTGTTCAACATTATCTGATTCATGTATTCTATTTAATAAAGCAAAATTAAAAAATATTTCTGAGACAAAAATTGATATTGGAAATACAATAAATTCAGAACGAAATATCAATAGGAATTTACCCATTACAAAGTAAGTAATTTAATTTTGTCTATTTTAATTCAAACATTCGAAATTATCATTTTTGTTATTGTTACTAATTTATTATAATTAGAGGAAAAATTGTAGACTTTTGGATGAGCCAACAAAAAAAGATACATTATTGGATAAGAATAGTCATACAATTTCTGGTACTACAATTATGAAAACTAAATTACCTGCCAAGGAATTATATATGTCAAAATCAAGATATATGCCTGGTTCGTTTTTACAACTATTTCTCATTTATTATTTCTTATAAATTAATTAAAAGTTAATTTATAAAATTGTTTATCTCTCATTTAATTAGAACTATCCGTTTCTTGACTACTTTTATCAATTTAAAAATTTAAATTTCATAACATTATTCAATAATACATATGAACATTCCGATTTTCTTTAGGTGTTCCGGTAAATTCGGTAAACCAACAAGGCATTGATTTCACGAAACGATCAAATTTTAAACCAAATCCAGCAAGATCAGCAGTACAAGCTCGTTTCGAATATGCTTATGGTAGGCCTTTTTTTTCGCAAGGAAAAAAAACCGGACTCTTTATTTGAAGATATAAAATGATAATTAACTAAACAAATTACAAACTAATCATTTGTTGAGTAAATTCTAGAGATTGAAAAGCTATGATGAATTTATAAAAAAAAAAAAAATGTAAAATTCATTCGTTGAAGGATATGTACCAACATTTGGTGTCCGGAAAAAATCCATTAAATAATATAAGCACAAAACCATCCGGAAGAATTGACTGGACAGCAAAGTAAGCTTAAACTAAACGAAAATATATTTTCCTTACTTTCAAACTAATCTTACTAATGTAGTAATAATGCTAACTAATTTCTTTTTCCCTTAAAGCAAAAGTAAATTAATTTCGATTAAATTTAACTTTTCTAAAGAAATAAATTCCGTGCAATATACTTTACAGATATCTTCGACACTAAAGCAGTATGATATTTATATGTTGACAAATATTTGGATGCCTTATCAAATCACTGATCCAATCATTTCTTACTTCATAATTGTTGTATATTGTATAGAAAATAAACAATTTCATGGCTAGATGATAGGTGACGGAATAATCAGAGAAATTTCTTTTTTTTTTTTCATAATTGATAAATCATTCGAATAATTCATAGAAAAAAAAGAGTGATAAAAAAGTGTAACAATTGTTTCGAAAATTAAACATTTAAAGATTAAGGAAAAAGAAAAGGAGTCAATCTAGCATAGTCTTTGAAAAGAATTAGCATCATGAAACCCTTCTCTACATCACAAACAAACTGGAAAAGAGGTAGAACAATTCGTTATACTTATTTTCGATTTGACAAAGAGGTAGCTAGTAGGGCAGATATCATCATGTCCCATAGAAAGGAATATATGCTTTTTTACCTGAAATACTTGAGACAGAAAATGTGATTTATTTCAAAGAAAAAAAAAATGTGCAGTAATCCAATCATTCAAATACAGAAAAAAAACCGGAAAAATGACTGACAAGTAAAGAGATTCACAGAATGGAAAATTTCATTCTTACATTTGACGAATCAAAGAAATTTGCAATTAAGTAGTAAAGGAGGACTGACATTGCAAACATATACGTACACGTTTCTACACGTAGTTGTTCACTCAGTGTAACATTCAGTAAATTATTATTGTTGTTAAGAAAAGCTCTATAAATGATATGATTCAAAAATGTAATTTTTTACAAAATAAACGACTAAATTATGAGCAAATCAAGAAATCAACATTTACTTTTATATGATTCCTAAAAAACAAAAAAGAAAAAAACACGTGAAGGATCGAGACTAAGCACTGGCGGAGACAGCATAAAACTTCAAGTGAAAGACATTAAATTGAATAATCATGAAATATTCGAGGATTTTTAAAACAAATTATATTCAAGAATGATTTTTAGTGGGCTTTTTCCAATGTATAGAATAAGATTTGAATTCAGAAGGCGATGCTTCTGAATAGAACAAATCATATTTTTAGATCGTAAATTTTACGAGAATGAAGAAATAAACGGAAGACAAGGAAACAAAACGATTTTTTTTTAAATTCATGAGTGTAGTCTTAAGATTTCATTCAGTTAAAAGTGGCAATATCTGTAATGTGAATCAAATAGCTGGAAGTTGCACGGAAATGATTTTTTCATACAAGGATCTCTTTTCATCACATCAGAGAAAATTCATCATCTTAAGCTTGCCATAACATTCATACTAAATGAGTGTGATTTTTGATCTCCAGATATGGTAAAGTAAAGCATACTGGTTGGAAAGAATATCTCCTGTGCAGCAGAACTACTTAAATAGGATGGTGCATGATATCCTAAATTTAAAAGAGTTTTGTTTTGAAAAAAAATAAGGCCCAAAAGGTGAAGCTAACTGGATCTATTTCAGATTGCTTTCCAGATTGTTTTATAGTCGGTAAATATCCAAGTGATATTTGGCTGAAACAACTTCTTTCATTTCACGAAGTCGTTCAGCGTAATCTTTTGCCTGAAAAAAAAATGGATTAAAAGATAAATTGAATTGAATTTTTGATCTTTTAAATTTAAGATATCATGCATCGTCCTATTTGAGTAGTTCTGCAAGGAGATATTCTTTCCAATCAATTTTTTTCTTCAGTTTGCACCCTGCTTAACTTTGGACACAGCAGTCAGGTTCATTATTACATATCCAAAATGTTCTGAACGTGAATACAATGAAGTATCAAAATATTGAAGAGCATAACGCGCAGAACATTGTTAAGAAAATCTTTGTAGAAATGGAAAACTTACGTCAACTATATTTTCGGTATCCGGAATTCTAAGTGAAATTCGAGCCGCGCGTCTACAATCCACATCTTTATCGGTAAGTAACCTTTCGACACTATGATGTATGATTGATGAGTCAAATGAGCTACCAAAAGCGTATCCACCGCGCATTTTTGAGATAGACCGTACGAACGCCAAGCGTACATTTGCTACTGCTGAAAAATTAAGTGCCACCTTTTAATATTAAATCTATGAAAATTTCTTGTTTGCAATTTCACTTTTCTTAACACTGAATGTCAGAAGCTATATGGTTTCTCATATATACAACTGAATAAAGAAATCAAATAATAATCAGTGAATATGTCTAAAACTGAACTTACAATCTCCGGCTAGCCTCATCAAATCATTCAGTAGCAATGATGAAAACTGATCGTAGCTTAATACTTCACCTTCCAGAATTTTTTCACAGAACAATGCAAATCTAAAAATAACCCAGATATTTTGCGTGAAACTAAGCCAGTTCATATGGATTTTTTTTCCAAGAATTCACATGATATAGCAAGATAAAGCGAATCAAAACTAGCTGAGATAAACTAGATAACTCACGTCTGTCTCCTTCGCCAATTCATTGATCGGGCAAACCCTTTCACAATGTCACTGATAAATGAATCAGTGATCGGAATAAACGATATGTCAGTTCTGCAAGGATCAGTGTAATCCGAAGTCCACTCTTCGCTGATAAACTTTCCTAATATTCTTGCCAGTAGTACAGTTGCTTCTTTTCGCACATCTGATATCCTATCTGAAGTACAAAAAATATTATTTCAGTAAATTTAGCTGTTATTGTACCTCCGCTCTTTTCCACTCCTCTCCTGAATAACCAAGTGATTGAGAAAGTCAAACAAAAAATAAAATCCAAAAAGCAGTAATTCCATTAACTAACAACTTATTTTTCTATATGAAACTAAAAATTAACCGTTAGCTAATGTTAAAGCTATGGCGGCCAAATATTCATTAATGTCATGCATAGCAAAGAGATCACACAGGAGAATACATTGCCTGAAAAGGAACGATTTCAGGAAGTATAAAAGGAATTTATAAAACAAAACAAATAAAAATTTCAACGAAGCACTAGTAACCTAACACTACCACAAAGTAAGAGAATATTTTTAGGACCATTAGGATTGACTTAGAAAAGGAACATAAACTGATTTACCTTACGTATTTATATCTATACCTCCAATTACGTCCATTATCGGCATCGGAATGTAAAAAATTTGGTAGTACCGATAATAACTTTTGCCTTGTAGCCGGTGTTACTAGCTGAAACAGGATGAATATCTTTTTTTTTCTGTTCAACACGAGAATGATGTTTAAATAAGCAAATAATCTGAAGACTGAACAACTAAATTAGATTAATTAACTGAAATGGCCAAAAGTACATAAATGTGTAGCTAAATGGAAAGATATTATTTCCCGAAGACTTTATTTGTTAACTCAATTCAAGCCTTCACTGAACCCTCCGTCCGACAATAACATATGCATAAAAGTTTCTAATAATCATAAACTTACTTTAAAAAAATCGTACAGATGATTCAGCAACCCAAGTTTCACATCTTCCACATCTTCCATAAATCGTTCAAATATTGGTACCAAATGAGCATCTGCATTTTCCTCCCCAATAATTGCTGCGATTTCGTGAATCGACGATGCCAATATATGTCGAACACGCCACTAAAATCATTTAGAAGGATAAAAGTGCAACTTTTCTCCTAAAACAATTAACACTTAGCTAACTTTTCCCCTTGTAACCTATTAGCGCTGTCACTACCGTTTGATGACGAATAAATATCTGAGCTGAAATACTTGATACTACTATACTTGTAACAAAAAAATGGGAAAGTTTATTTTTCAAATTCGTAGCAGTAGGTGAACCAGTGCTTCTACACTCACAAAAACGAGAGAGGACATTCGGAAAATGTTAATGCTAAAGAAAATGGACCTATATATCATATGCTCACATCTAGTCCAATTACAATTTTACAATGGGGTATGAAACAGATCCTGCGACTGTTAGTCCCAACTTCACTATATAATTTTAACAAAAGTAGCTTTAAGATAAAATTACGAAAAATACATACTTGCATATCTGATGCCAACTGCTTATAAGTACCCATGATACAAGGCCAGTTGTTGCGACCAAGAGTGAATGCAACAGCAGGGAAACTATGGGCACATTGTCGATTTATTTCACCATCTGCATTATTACAAGGTGAGACCATATGTACGAAACTATCGAGCAGATCCTGCGGTATTACCATCTGAAATTTTGCTACGTTCGATTTTTAATCAATATTAGAAATGCAAAGTGAGGAATCCTACCAACAACATCGTTATATGTGTCATAGTGACGGGAAAGAACTGTTATGAAACGAATGATTCAGAAGTCACAAATCGATTATTACATTCCCCAAAAATCAAACTTGAGTTCGAGTATTGATAGCTGAAGATGTCGTTTGTTCATTTTTATCACCCTCAACAGAACCGGTTGATGGACTTGTTTCATACAAAACTGTAACAGTTTTAGTTATTTCATCCGTAGTTACACCCAATTTCTTAAATCATCCTCTTCCATAACATAGCTGTCGTACTCCGAGTATTTATTAGTCGCGGTTTCTATATCCTGAAAAATTTGCATTTTAGTTCAGCTGTTACTGCTTGAGATGGATCAAGTTCAGATATGCACCAGCTCAAAATATAATGTAAAAGATGAAGTTGTAAGATCTTGTAATACAAACAGTAAAAAAGCACTGGTATCCCATGATGCGAAGATGTATTTTTGCACATCTACAGTTATATATTGGGCAAGTAATCAGTAATAAAACATCGATGCATTCTGTTATTCTTACTTGAACATAATGGAGTAATTTCTCGTTTTTTCTTTTTTTTAAATGATGAAACTGTTTAAAAAATCAGTAGCCATTTAATGGAATACTTAAGAAGTGCTAAGTGCCCAAACAAAAAATAAGCTCATAAAACTAGTTATCACAATTAGAAATGGAGAAATTGATAAATTGGTATAATCTTTCACTTCCACCTAAACCGGAATAAAATGTCGGAAACACACCAAGAATAGTAAATTAAAACAAAAACTTACATTCACATTGAATTTTGATGCATCGTAAAATAAATTTGAATGTCGTTGAATAAATTCAGCTACAAGTTTCTTTACATCATTCTTATCATTTCCATGAGTATTTTTGTTGTGACTGACAGCTGGACTCTTCCCATATGACTTTAAATCAATGTCAAAAGATCCCGCTGACCAATATATCAGAGGACAATAAGCATTCATGTCATCGTTATCATTCATTTGCGATGGTTCCTGGAAACAGAAATTTTGAATTTTGTTAAAACTGTTAGCGAAATTGTGAAAAAAAAATTGTAAAAAGAATTTGTAACTGTCCTCTTAGGCCATTAAAAAAGTCACAATTTTACCTAGTTGAAGTACTGAAGTACCAAACATGACCTGAATATTTAACAATTAAAAAACTATGAAATTATGACGGTAATAATTTGACTGATTTCCCGACGGTTTCTTGATAGACTTTTCGAATTTCTGAATTAAACCGGTATTTTGGACCTAGTTCATTTTTCATTTATTCTTTAGCCAATCAAGAAAAAATTCACTGTGATGGAATTCCAAGCAGATTTTTTCTTGAATCTTTAGTTCTGTAAAGGAAAAAGTTTACCTCAAAACTAATTTCTATATCGTCGTCCTCAATATCCATCGGACACGATTCTTCTTCAGTGTTTTCAACGTCCTCGTCTTCTTCACCACTGCTGTCATCATTATCACCAAGCACCAATTTTGTTAAGTCAGAATGTGTTGAACATGATGCCGCCACACCATTTTCAATATCCAAATCCATACTATCCATACTAAATAATAATAAAAAGTACAAAAAAAAAAAAAATACAAAAACGAAGCGGTTTAGGCGAACCTTAATCCTTGACCACTGTGAGATGACACTTAGATTTATCGATGAGTTAATGATAGAATAATCCTAACGGTCAACTAATTATATTGCTGTCCAAAATTACATTAAAAAGTTTAGTAACAAAATTAATACTCGCATTATTAACCGTTGTTACACACATATATTGACGTTGTAGTATACCAGTCATCGCTATGCTGGACTGTGAAATGACGGAACAGCCAGCAGTGCGCAAACACCATAATGAGGATACTTTTTTAAAACGAGCTAAAAAAACATCGATAGAAATGAGAGGCTTACGAATTGAGAACAAGCGAGTTACTTGAGACGATAGAATCATCTGACATGGCCCAAGAATCCCATGAATCCAGTAAACAAGTTAATTCATTTAAAACACAACTGAAATATCAAAATCAATTTTATATATGCCATAATGTTTAACCTATTGATACCTTTTCCTTTTTTTTTTTACTTATTACTTCAGTATAAACAAATTCCTAAACAATGTACGACGATGTGACTGTGTTTCGTTTTTATATTGGAAAGGAAACAATACAATGTTAAATAGTACATATATAACTAGATGAATACAGCTCCATCGACTACCTTTGGTCCTGAGGTGATGAAGCTGAAGATTCTTCTGATTCTACATCAGATTCTGGAAATACAACACCTGGAGGTAGTTGACTGTATAGTTCATTTTCGTCATCTTCTATAACCATTCCATTACTTCCGCAGTTATTTTGCGCGCTTTTATCATCTTCCGCTATATCGGCTGTACAAAAAGAAAAGGAAAATAATAAGAGAAATTAAAATAATTTACGAAATTTCAGACAAATTCAAAATATAGAAAGTTTCAAAACAAAATGCAGTTTACGTTGGCGTAATCTAGCTATTAATTTTAAAATATTTGGCAATTAAAAGATTGAAGAAATAGGGCTAATTTTAGCAACATGTCACACAAATGATCTAAGTGAATTCAGAACTTTTTTATCCACACAATTTCATATCAAATTTAAACAAAAACCCTTCGCTCAAAATCAATTTGTCAATTATATGAACAAATCTTTTGCGCTGATTTGATTATGATCATACAAATAGTCGCACAAAAAATCGTACGAATAAAGAGATAAATATGATTTAGAATATCATATTCTGAAAGAAAACTCATGAAAAATTTTCCGAGAACAACATTAAGAAAACTAACAATTCGCAACAACCAATCGGCCATCTCTTATTTCAAGGCCCATACGACTTGTATCCGCAAATGTTGCAATAAATCGACCAAGCTGTTGGAATGCCACATGTGAAACCTGCAATAACAAAATAATGAACGAACCTGAAGCTTATAGCTAATGCATTCTAAAAGGATGCAGAGAAACAAAACATTTTTCATAACAGACTTTCATAAACTTTAACAAAAACATTTTTCATTTTTCATAACACATTAAAAATATACTTAAATGCTTATATACAAATAAACAAATATAGCACAATGGAAAGTGCATTCACTCTTTGGAATTTGCGAATATTTTCCGAAAAATTGGAAAAAACAGGAAACGACGGGAATACATATAAATCATAGATAATAATTGCACCTTAGATAGAAGAAAGTTCATTTCAAAAAAATGATTTTAGATTGTACTATTGCGTATTATTTGAATGGAACAATCATCCCACTTTCACAATAATTCACTCTTATTTTTCCTCACTTAAAGTAAAATTAATCTAAATCATCATTTCATAATATCGATTATATCATAATTATTAACTATAATATAGGTAGGCATCATTTTAATCTACTGAATAATTAAATGAATTAAATTTCTATCCAGAATTAATAATGATAAATGACAAATGAGCAAAATCAATTAAAATAAATCATTGCGAAACAAAATGAACGTTTATCGATAAGAAAAGAAGGAAAAGAAAAATAAGAATGGGAAAAATTACCCAACGTGAAGTATCATGAAGTAGGGTAATAAAACGTGGTGCAAGCTTGCGTTCTTTTGTTTCCATTGAGCAACAGTTTGCGATATCAACAAATACCTCACATGATGATTTCCGCACACCCCATGCTAGATCTTTGCTTGATACTATTAAAAATGGTACCGCAAACTGCAAAAAAAGCAAACAAAATTAACTGGCAAAATTTTCGAATTTAATAAAAATTTCGAAAAATAGTGAAAGAAAATAGAAGAACGAGCAAAGAAATAGCAAAAAGTAGACTAAGATTTAGTGACAATATTAAAAAAAGAAAAAGACTGGATGACGATATTAAAAAAACACGATGTGAAAATTCTTCCATTTTTTTCTTCTCATTTTTCATGTCTTCCATTCATATTTTCATTTATTCGTTCATTTCCAACTAATAAAAGCAATTTTTAAGTGTATAAAAAATTAATGTAATTTTTTCGTATTAATTTAAAATTGTACCGATTTTTTTAAATTTGTACTAATTTTTTTTTAAATTTGTACTAATTTCTTTTTTCTTACCTGTTCTGTGAAATTCCTACCGAACATCACCGCCAATTTCCCCAGAATCGTTACACATGTCTGAAATTCATGGAGTAACTAATTATACATATATGAATATATAAAAGAGATTACAAGACACTGCATGAGCTACTAAATAAAACATGTATTGCAGCAGATTGTATCAACAATCTTTTGATGAAAAGATTGTGGAATATCGCGGAATACACTAATTTCCATTTCATATTTTAACACTGCTATAATAAGCAATATATATCCGAGGCCTATTTTAAAGAGGCAAAACTAGTTCCTGAAGACTCCCTTAAATGAACTGCAAATAGAGGGAAATATTAAAACTTTCTAGTTATAATAGGAGGACATCCAAGCTATAAAGCACCATTGACCAGTATCTCATTCAAATACATCACTTCCGTTGAATTCAGTTCTACCAAACAAATCCAAATCATTAACTCTAACGTCCTCACGCCCGAAATTACAAATGTATTTGAGCCACTTATTACAAAAGTCGGTCAGATGTTACATATGTGTGCTTGAACTCCGATATCATGTTATTTGTTGATATTGAATATTTCAATTTCGAATTTATTACTGTTTTAAACCTTGTACGCTTGTGGAATGTGTTTGCTTTTCTCGCCGTAATATTTTGACTTCTTTTTCTTTTTACAATAATCACTTAATCTTCTCCTTATTTCCACACTTTCGTTTTATATTTGTTTACTGATAGCAAAACAACCATGTCAACTTATAACCACATTCCTTCTCTTGACATCAAATCCCATATGTTATCACTATCATAATTATATAACACTGTTAAATGATAAGGATTTCACTTAATATTTCAACCATATTATTTTATAAAATAGCACTCCATGAATAACACCATATTATTATTCCCATGAAAAAAAAAAATGCCCATCTTATTATTTTTTGAACTATCACTATCCACTATCACACTTCTTTTAAAGTTTATGAACAAGCTATTTCTACCAACCATAATTTTAATTGGTAATTAACCCTGTTCTATTCATCCTGTCATCTTTGTTATGTAAAGTCCACAAACTCGCATATCTACCCATCTTATCACTAGATATCACTAGGTTCTAGTGGACCGAAGCAAACAACACTACGACTTGTTTCACTAGAAATATCACTATTACTATTTCACGACTTATCAATGACTTTTTCTCTATTACTGGATGTTTGGAAACAAATACCACCGGTCATCCATCTTTTATTTTATCATTAAATAAAAAAGAAAAGCTAGGCTACAATTCATAATACTCTTCCATTTGTGTATCAAGTAAAGACAGTACAGTTCCAGTTACTTAATTCTTATTAATTAAGCCGCCGTCAACTAACGCAAGGTTACTACGACTCGAAACAATAGATACGACAAACAGACAAGTGAGTCAAAATCCACAGCACCATAAGTTTAAGTTCACAGTTCATATACCATAAATGACTCAAAGCTTACAAATGATCTTACAAAATTGGAAGAAATTACAACTGCCTGTCAATTTCTGAAATTTCAAACATCACAAATGAAGTAAAATCTTAACACTGCATCCTCCCGAAAACAAGACTATGTCTTATTTTGACAAGTCTTACACTATTTCCCCCTCCCTCCCCACCCAAACAAACGTGCCAGGACTTATTTTCAGATGACGAAGCGGTCAGCTGGCTCGTCCCGCAGCTGTACCAAGCGGCGATGATGCGGGGAAATGGCCAGTACGGAATGAGGGTGAGCCTGAGGCTTTATCCAGGTTTTGGGGCGGCTGCGGGAAACGCCGACAGTGGTGCTCCCTGCGGCTGTGGTAGGGCCAAACTACGCCTTATTTTCAACGGGAGGGACCTATATCATGCACTTCCCCCAAAATTTTAGCAAAGTCTATTTTCAGGAGACGACTTACTCTCGAGGAAATACGGTAAGAATGTTAATTTAAAATTAACTGGATTTGTATTTTCCACAGTACAACTTATCAGTAACCTTCACGACTACCTACATATGAACTTGTCCCAGTCAAAAATTGTATTGTTAATTCCTAAGCAACTCCACCCAAAATACACCTATTCTTACTATCCCAACCCATTTCACAAATGTCCTAGATGACATGTCGTGCTTTGTTACATCTCAAAAGTGATCTTCATATTTTGCATCCTCTCTTTGCTTCATTTATCCAACCCCCCAACCCATTTCACAAATGTCCTAGATGACATGTCGTGCTTTGTTACATCTCAGAAGTGATCTTCATATTTTGAATCCTCTCTTTGCTTCATTTATCCAACCCTCCTCTTTGTAATTTCCTTTCTTTTCATTTATCTCGCATATATTAGCATAATCTTTTGCATTGCGCTTTCATTTATAATAATATTTATCAGCCAATTACTCTACTTTTTAAACAAATTTTATTTCTCAAATCTTGAACTTGAAGATGAACCAGTATTTTTCTACTCCCATCATAATTACACTTTTTTCTCACCCACATCAAACTACAATCGTTCGATCCATTCAAACAGTCAAATCTCAATAATTTCAATTTCGACCAACATCTCCCTCAATATCTAAGGAAGGAACACCAACATTACCATTATCATATTTCAATTCTGATCAATCATTCTCATCTTCCTACAACTTAACTTACCTTTACTAAAATCACCATCTTTGAATGTCCCACAATATTTTAGAACAATTAGCATTTGCAATCAAGATGACAAATTTAATTGGTGTAAGTTGATTATGTATTATGCTTCTGCAACATATCTCTATCATTATTTTGTATTTCTCTCTCCCTTATCTGTTGTAGTTAAAGCTTTGTTCTTCTTAACTCTCCAAAAAGGAGGGAGAAATTTCGTAAGAACGTTAGAGATCGGATGGAGTAATTTTATTGCTAAAGCAATCAAGTCGAAGCATTTTTGCCTATCTCTTCTTTTCCCATCTCCTCCTCCCCCTCCTCCTTTTTCAGATGATCTTTTTTCTGGCACAAAAAGAGAAAATGGATGTTTCGTAATGTATGCGTGTAATATGTGTCATATGTGTATGTATGTGTGTATACATAATATATGTGTAAAATTCCCGTTGAAAAATCGTAGCGAGTAGTATGGGAAATGATACAATGACTTACCAGAATAACCTTTGACCGTAGCACACTAACTTCTCTCTCTCACGTCCTATCAACTATGTTAATCCTTCATTTACTAAAATAATGAATCAAAGGAAATGGTAATCTCTGGTCTTCTTGGCGCAAGCTCAAATTACGAAATAATCCTACCATCCTTCACCCTCCCACTACTTTTAATTCTTTCACTGTTTTTTTTCCAATCCGCTAACAAGTGCGAGTTGGTTGGTTAACAACGGGATGTCAAAATTAGAAACTAATATGGCAGACAGAGAGTTGACACACCCTCTTACCTTCTCCCTTCCTGGATACCAAATTCTGCTGTCATTACCATTTCGCTTTCAAAACCTCCCCCCACTTTCGAAATTAGTCATTTCTCCTACCAACGAATTTTTCCCCCATTTCACACATCCGAACAGAAGGGGAGGAAAATCCCGAAGCAATCCAGAACCACTGAATTGATCAGTTGAAACGATAACCTTTGACACCAGCGACCCACACACACCTTACACAGAATTAATCCACGAAACTCCCGTAACAAAAAATCCGTCATTTGAAAGGAAAAAATTGCTCCTGCTAATTCATGTAGTTTCTAACTGATACACCCTTTTTTAACTTCGGCATCACACCAAAATTTCAGAAGGAGGAAATCAAACTTTAGTATTACTTTTCGGATATGAAACGCTCTATCTTGCAACAGTATGCTATATCTGCCGAGAAAACTTTCGAAAATCCATCTCATCGTCAACGCTTCCGGCCATGTGACAATTTTGCAGAGAAGCTGAAAACATTATGAGCATTATTTATATCCCATATCTTTTAGGCTGCACTATTTCTCTTTATCCATTCCCCGCCATCTCTTTTCAGGAGTACACTCTCTCTTTCCTTTTTCGTCAGCAACTTTATTTTATTCTCAAAATTTCAAGCATACACAGAATCCTCACCAACAAAACCGTAAATATAAACACCAAAGGACCCCATCACAAACATGAATCACACTCCTTACAGTTAACATATGGAGTTCCTGACATTTTATTTGTCATCGATTCAAATTATTTTTCAAAGATGGAACAAGAGATGTCAGCACTATTTACACGTCACTTAAGCACAAACATTAGTTTCGAAATTTGAAAGACGAAATGAGAAAAAGACAGAAAAGCAATGATGCAATATAACATTATAAATAATAGTGTAACAGGAGGAATAACAAAAGTAGATCTTTTTGGCAATAATTTGCAAATTGAAACGAATGAAATACATTTCCACCACATGCATGATATGTTTATACAATGAGAACCACTAATCGACAACTTCGGAAACATTTTGCCAAACAAGCCACATTTACTGAAGCACAAACGTTGTTTTATCTCTAAAAACTTCAGTTCTATGGATACTGTGGATAGTAGTGATATCTAAGTGGCGCAGCTCACAAATCGAACTGTTCACAAAATGTCTCCAAGCCTTTGGATGCAACAACAAATATTAAGAAACAAAGCAAAGATAACATTCCATCCAATAGCGCAGCGTAGTCGACGTATCACCAAGACATAGGGTGGTCAAGCCCGATGAATACGCACATTTATGTGATGGGACGACAAGCGCACAACACATCAAAGCTGGCTGTGATATGAATTTCATTTAGCGACACATCACCGACCACTTTGACGTGCTGGAGAAGTCCTTTTCGATGAATTCTCGAAAAAGAATACCGACTCATGCGCGGTATTGTCCAGGATTTCTCCAAAGGATAAAGTAGCAGAATTCCTGGGATCAACAGCAAGCAAACTCTAGCAAAACAAGTTAGAAGTTTACAAATCGACTCACCATACAGGTAAATACAAACAGTTTGCACAGTAAACAAGTTAAACAAACCGATGGAAATTTACGATATAAGCAGCAGGAAACAATTTGAAGTCAATACACCTTATTTGCATAGCGCTACCAGAAATACTTCCTATCAAGTAGATTTTATTCAACAAGCAATCAAACCAACGTATTCACATATAGCGTATCAATCGCGAATGAACAAGCTGCTCGCTACAGAAACACTCATCCTACCTTATCATGAAACGTACAGACCTACCGCATCACCTTTCGATCCAACCGTCTCTGTTAATTGGTCTAGTAGGACCTATTTATCGCAAGCCCTCTCCTGAAACCGGCCTATTACACATTAAGCTCCAGTTACCCACAAATCCAACTCTTCTCTAAATAACAAATCACCAAGTCTCATCCACGTATGCGCCAATCTGGCTTCCGCATCAATCTGACGAGATGAACCGTTCGAACATAATTTCAACAGATAACTGAATGGTTTTTCAGTGTACCAACTGTTTAATACGACTCGTCTACAAATCTCCTTTTCCCTAACACGAAGCCTGAAAATTTGGTCAAAAGAAATCTACACAAACCGTATGTGCATGTTATAAATACTCGAAATCAGAGCGCAAGAGAACCCCGACAATGAAAGAAAAAATGAGCAATTGATCCTAAAAAAAAGTCGTTTTGTGGGTCGTCAAATTTATAGCAAAAAAAAAAGGACAATGCACCAATATGAGGGAAAAGCGGAAAACACACGGATAAGACAGAGAGAGGGAAATGATACCAGGCAATGGTAATGCTTGGAGAGTGATAGATCTCAGGTATAGCAAAAACTCTAAGTACTTTTTAGCAAACTTCTATGACACACATGTGTACAACTACAAGAAAGAAAAATTCCCCTATGACAATAAAATATTACCATCACTCACTCTCATCCTCATTCTCAATAAAGACATCTTCGCATTGCACTTCATTATCCATAAGGCATTGAAAATAGATACCAAACATTACAGAGTACTTAGTAATACCGCCTCATCTACATATATATGTATACATATACACATATATATGTATATATACATACACACACACAGTTTGAATACTTATCCTAATCACCACCAAGAGAAAATCAAAAGAAGCGGGGTGAAGGAAAAAGAGGACAGGGAGTTGCAGGAAAGGGGAGGGGAGAAGGAAATGAGGCACCATTTGCTTCAGGGACACCTGTCGTATCTCTATCATACCCCAACACTCCTCAGCAGCTGTGAAATGGTTGATGATGGGTGCAGTTGGAAGAGGGAAGAACTTTTTGTTCTCCCATCAAGCTTCCTCTTCTCCTCCTTTCATCCAACATTCCATCCCACCTTCCTCGTATTCTTTACTACTACTACCACTGCTATTACAACTACCCTTACTCGATACATACATCCATACACACACATGACAGTCTTAAACAATGGTACAAAAGGAATAATGCCTTTGTTTCCTTTACTTTGTATTATACGCACTCATTCACTTACATTACATAAACCCCAAAAATACACGTTACCATCATTACCCATTCCGTTCCTATCACATTCTCATTCGACAATCCTCTAACATAAATCATACCTAATGGCCAAAATTTCCATCTGCTGTTACTTTATCCCAACCCAAATAAATAAGTACTTGATATGATATATAAAGGAAAAAAAAGAATCATTCTGTTAAATGTTATGCATTTATATAGGGAGCAAGCAGTAAAGTATATATATATATA